TGAGCACTTACCCAAAGAACTTGAAATCAACAATTCAAAGAGACTTATGCACCTCTATGTTCACTGCAGCATTATTCACAGTAACCAGGATCTGGGAGTAACCCAAGTGCCCATCGACTGATGAATGGATAAAGAAGATGTAGTATATGTATACAATGAAATACTACTCAGCCATAAAAAAAGACAAGATTGTCCCATTAGCAACAACATGGATGTACCTTTAGGGTATTATGTTAATCGAAATAACCCAGACAGAGAAAGACAAACACTGTGTGATTTCACTCATATGTGGGAGATAAACAAATACATGGACAAAGAGAATAGTTTAGTGATTACCAGAGGGGAAGGGAGTAGGGGGGGTGGGCACAAGGGGTGAAGGGGCACATTTATATGGTGACTGACAAATGATAATGTACAACTGAAATTTCACAATGTTATGAACTATTATGACGTCAATAAAACACACACACACAAAACAGTTTGGTACTGAAACTGCTGGAAGAGAGAAACTATGGCTCAATGATAGGAGACAGACTCTAGAAACAGACCCTAACACAAATAGAATTTAGGATATGATAAAAATGACATTTCAAATCAAGAGGGAAAAGGCAGTTATTTAATAAATGACCTGAATGGTCATCTGGAAAAAGATAAAGTTATATCCATACCTTACATCTTATATGCAAATATATTCCAAATGAATTAGACATTTAAGCCCAGAGGAAAAACAAACTATTAGAACACCAGAAGATTCCATGGGAAAACCTTCTTTCATAATCTTTGAGTGGAAAGATCAGAAGCCATACGATAAAATTTAACTCCATAAAAAATCTTTATGACAAGTGCTGCCATAAGAAAGACAAAAGATAAGCGATAAACTAGGGGAAAAGGTTTGCAAGACATTTCACAGTTAAAAGCTAAATTTACTACTACATAAGAAGCTTCTTCAAAGTAATAACAATCAAATAGGAAAATGAACAGGAGATATAAAGAGACAATGCACGGAAAAGGAAATAGGGATGGCTCTTAGACCCATGAAAATATACTCAACCTCAATAAGAGAAATGCAAATTAGATCAACGTAGAGAGACCATTTTCCTTATCAGATTGGCACAGATTCAAAAGGTTAATAACATCCTGTGTTGGCAAGGGTGTAAGAAAACAGGCCCTTGGAGTTTAAATTGGAATTTAAATGAGAACAACTTCTGTGTCATTGGAGTAATTTTGCAAATCTATAAAAATGCAAATGTCTATGTCTTTTGACCCAGAAATTCCAGGTTTAAGAATTTTTTCCCATAGATTTGCTTCCATGTGTGTGGAATAACATATCTAAAAGATTTATCATAGCAAAAAAAGGGAAATAATCTAAAAGTTTATCAATAGGGACTGGTTCAATAATGGGATACTCTGCAGCAGAGTAAAAATAGGGAAAGTCTTGAAAAGGGAGCAATATTGATGGCATTGGTGGGTGTGTGTAAAATGCAAGGTATAGAACACTGTGTATATAGTTTTCTATAGAACTTGTGTGAGGGGGGAAACTATGTCTACACATATGCATTTGCCTATAAACGAGTAAGGTTTTCTGTAGAGATGCTCAAGAAGCTGATATCATTGGTTGCCTTTAGGTAGAGGAGCTGAGTGGCTGGAGGTCAGAGCAGGGAGAGAAACATCAATTCTGTACCTTTTGAATGTACCGCATTTTAAAAAGAGTAAATAAAATTAAAAGTTTGTATCTTACAGATTCAAATTATATGAATTTCAAAAACAGAAAAAACAAGTTGTGGTGATAGAGGTCAGAAGAGTATGACCTCCACAGGGAGATACTCACTGGGAAGTGGCGGGAGGCAGCCTTCTTGGAGGAGGACAGCAGACATGGCCTCTATCTTCAACTGGATGGTAAATGCGTATGGAAAATTCATCGACTCCATGTTTAATATTTATGCACTTTACACTGTGTATATTATACCTCAATACTACATTTTAGAAAGTATGAAACTTGAGTAATGAGAAAGGAAATTGCTATACACACTTAAATAATAATATTCTATGGACTCCTTCTTCACTAGAGTCTTAAAGTCACAACTGTTTTCCCTCATTTGATTTTAAGTTTTTTAAAAAGACTTTTCATGTGGGAATATGTATGTATCACATGAGTATCAATGCAGAGGGAAGTTGTGGCCAATGTGTACTGGCCTTTCTTATTTCTTATTAAAAATAACCCTTCATTGGGGCTGGCCAGGTGGTGTAGTGGTTAAGTTTGCACGCTCCGCTTCCGCAGCCCGGGGTTTGCAGGTTCAGATCCCGGGTGCAGACCTACACAGAGCTCATCAAGCTATGTTGTGGTGGCATCCCACATACAAAATAAAGGAAGATTGGCAATAGATGTCAGCTCAGGGCTGATCTTCATCACCAAAAAAGGTGAGATAAAATAGCCCCTCATTGACCCCAGCTCAGTGTCCAGTTATCATTCCATTTTTCTACCATCGCACTGTGTGTGTGTGGGTGTGTACCTAGACTCATGACTAAGTGTGTACCCAGGGATGACTAGACCAAGTCACATGCTTTTAAGAATTTGATACTGAACTTTGCTTCCACAGTGAATGAATTTCTCAACATTAGCTCAGTGCAGTTTTGAGTAGCGCACAATGAGTCAGCAAGAGTGAAAACGTGAGAGTGAACCAATGACAAATTCCTTTTGAAGGGGAACTTGGAGCTTTCCCAGATCACCGCACGCTTCCACCACGCCCTCTCTGTCTTTGCTCTTGGAGTAACAAACACATCTTCCTGCATTGAATATGTTTTCCTAGCAACAGTGGTGAGGTGTGACAAGGCAACGTTGGGAGCAACCTTTGGGTCATAATGGAATAGTGTCAGGTGCCAGTGACACGAAGTCTGACGGTGCTGAGTCATTGTGATTCAGTGATTCCTTAATGAAAAGGATACATGGAGATATTTCTTGTTTTTTTTTTTTGGAAGATTATCCCTGAGCTGACATCTGCCACCAATCCTCCTCTGTTTGCTGAGGAAGATTGGCCCTGAGGTAACATCCGTGCCCATCTTCCTCTGTTTTTTTAATATGTGGGACACCTGCCACAGCATGGCTTGATCAGCAGTGCGTAGGCCCAGGATCCCATGAACCCCAGACACGCGAACTTAACCGCTACACCACCAGGCAGCCGCTGGAGACATTTCACTTTCTTTCTTTTGCTGAAGTAAGCCTGGAGGTACTGTCACATGATCACCTTTCATTCACTGACGCTCACCTTTCAGGTGCTTCTCCCTCTTATATAATAAAACAGCAAAGCACACGGCCAGCACGGCCCTGAGGGAAACCAAGTCTGCCTGGCTGCTTCGACGACTCTCAACTGGATTTGCCTGGAAACCTTAGGGGGGTGATGTGGAGGAGTTGGGATTGATCTCAGGCATCAGAACACTGAGATTTGGATTAATGAGCAAGGGAGTGTGTTTGTGTGTGTCTGCGGGTATCTGTGTTGTGTGTTTCTTAACCTCACTGCTGGGTGGTTAAGAAACTCGGAGTCGAACACCGTAGAAGTATTTCAAGTCGCGCTAGAGAGGAAATTACAAGAGAACCTTTAGGAGCAGACAACCTTTTGGAACACCATTAGGATAGCTCCACCATAGGAAAGGTGAAGACCCTTTGGGTAATAACAGCAAGGTCCACCCGGCAAGATTGGTTCTTTGTGGTAGAAGTGGTGGTGACAGTGGGGATGGAAGAGTCAGCTGAGAGCATCCTGCTAGGGCAGGGATGGTGTTAGAGTCGTCCTGCATTGGGACAATGCAGAGAAAGCCAAAGAGCCCCATGCGTGACCCAGCATCCTCTCAGGATGATGGAAGGGCTGGAAGGCTGGGGGCTCCTGGGGGTCTTCTCAGTGGCATCCCATGCCTCAGTAAAACGGATTTTCACTACCCTTGTGTTTGTGACCCTTGTCCTTGGTAGCTGCCGTCACCCTGGACTGTAGTTAATGCCTGTTCCATTGGACTGGGCACTCCTTGACTGAAGGAGCCGTATTGAGTTCATCTCTGTACCCCCAGTGTTTAGCAATGTTTTTGTTGAATTAGAAAATTAATCCATCTATCCTCTACTGTTTACTAAAACTCTGAGATGTGATGAAAAATATTAGTGTCTCTGCCTGTGTTTTGGATCTCTCAATGGGGCTCTTGCTCACACATCTACACTCATATGCTCATACACAGAGTACGCACCACATAGTGTTAACGATGCTGGCCACAATTGCTACTATTTCTAAGTTTGCCTTAAATCTTTGTATATTAAAATTTAACTGACTTTGCTGTTTTTTTCTGATCACATTCCCCTGGTTCCTCCCTTTGAATCGTAAGCATATACAGTGTGGCCTTTTGCACAAGAGTTTGAAGTTTTGTTTCTATGATCCTCTTCATTTTCTGCACAAATGGTCGTGTTTCTCACGTTTCCTGTTTCTTCTGAACATTTCCTGATGGTGGACGTCATGGAAGCAGTCCTCGGCAGCTGATTTTGTATCTATAGCTCTGCTTAGACACAATCTCACACAGGGAATTCACAACCCGTCTGTAGTGTTGTCTCCTTACTTAAAAAAAAAACCGTCCCTTGACCTCACTACAGCATCCAACCACCATCTCATTTTCCACAATTGTCTGTGACCAAGTGCACAGAGTGGGGGAATCTGCAGCTCCACCCTCACTTCCTCCCCACCCGCTTTCGCTTAACTTGCTGCCACCTGACTTCAGCCTCACCACTTACCAGAACACATCTCTTTCTCTAAAAGCCTGGTGTTTTTCTTCCGACCTTGACCCAGTGGGCTGTTTTCACAGTCCTCTTTCATGCTTACTTAGTTCGTTTAACATTGTTAAAAAACAAAACTCCCCACACCAGGAGTCTCCCCTCCTCTGCTTCTCCCTGGCGTCCACGACCCTGAGATTGTTTGCATTTTTTAACTCATCTGGTGAGCTGGTTAACGCTGATGTTTCAGTGCCACACTTACTGTTAGCCTCCTTCTGCCATCCGAGACAAGCCCATGACGCTCCGCCTCCTGTAGGTCCCCGTGTATGTGGTCCCCTTCCAGCTCTGCATCTCTACCCAGTCAGGACACTCTCACTCCATGTAGCTCCTTGGTTTTTAAACTCATTTTAAAACTTACACCTTCAAAGAAAACCTTATCTTCTTAAACTTTCCCTGCTCTAATAGCTCCCTAGGGTTTGTGTGAAGAGTATTTTTTCTTTGTATAATACTAATTTATCAACGCATGCATACTTCTTTGTAAATATTCTTAAGCTTTTGTTTTCTCATGAATGCACATTGCTCCTTGAAACCTTTTCTTCTATTTGGTTTTTTTCCAAAATGCTTACTATGGTCTCCCATGCGCAGTGTTGGTTAAAGTGGATAACATTAAAAATGGAATATATAATCCTGCCAGCTGAGTAAATATTTAATTTACTTGATATGACTCTGTGACAATTTGCCAGACACTGCCATTTCCTGCTTTTAGGGAACTGTTGTCTGTTGCTAACTTGTTGTTTCTCGGGGTCTTCTTTTCCTACTAGGCTCAGATGTAGAGTATGGGGCTTATGAAGTAGACCAGGACATTGTTTTTATGGATTTTGTTACCTATATCACAAGCCAACTTATCATAAAGACCAGGTACTCAGTCGCCAGGCTGAATGCTCGTAAAAGAGGTGATGAGGTTTGTTTGGGAGAGAAGGAACCCATAGAAGCTTCTAGTGCCAGCTTGCTGGGGTTGAGGTTTAGGTTTTGCCATAGTCTAACTGTCTGATTTTGGCCAAGTCAATTAACTTCTCTGTGCCTCAGTTTCCTCTGCTGTAAAATGATGGGTGAAGATAATTGTTTTGATCTCCTAGGGTTGTTATGAGGATTAAATGAATAGATATATGTGACAGAGTAAGCACTACCTGAGTGCTAGCTACCACGGCCACAACTACTACTGTTTCTAAGTTTGCCTTGAATCTTTGCATGTGTATGTGGATTCAGGTACTGCACGTAAAGCTTCATGGCAGTGAGTTGTTAGGTTTATTCATCCTTAAGGTTAGACTAGCACACACCACTTTTTATCTGCTAAGACAAAGCCAACTCCAGAAGAGTTGAGAAGAGTGAAAACTAGTGTCTGTTCTAACAACTGCTCTATACTCTTCACAACTAGTGCTGTCAAGACAAAGGAGGGCTGAGGAATCTTCCAGATTTGAGGAGGCTAAAGAGGCAGGCAGTTCGTGATCCTGGTTGGCTCCTGGATTGAGATAAAGGACGTTATGGGGAACATTGGAAGAATTTGAATACAGACTGAGTGATAGATAATGATTATTGTCTCAGTGTTATAGTTATAATTTTGGTAACTGTAAGGTGATTATGTAAGGGGAGATTCTTGTTCTTGTAATGTGTGTGTCTGTGTGTGTGTGTCTATGTGTATGTATGTACACATAGACATGTGTACACATGCAAAGAGAGAGAAAAGAGTCAGATGAAGAAGGAGAGATTGGGAAAATAAATGTGGCAAAATGTTAATATTTGATGAATCTGGGTTATACAGGCTTTTTTCTCCTATTTTTGCAGCCTTACTATACGTTTGAAATTGTTTCAGACTAAAAAGTGGAAAAAAAATAGCCCTATGATTTGGAGACCCAGTTTTCTGATTTGAAAGATGGATGAGTTTTAATTTATGATCTTTAGGAATGATGATAAAATTTTCTGAGCTGAAAATTGGGACATTTTGTATGAGGAATCTCTTTAAATGTTTTAAATATAAAAATCCTTCTAAGATGACAAGGGAAGGCACACTAATGAATATACTTCTGTTGAAAAGAATAAAAATGTATGAGACAAATAAAAATGTAATACTTTTGGGGCCGGCCCCATTGCCTGGTAGTTAAGTTCGGCACACTCCACTTTGGCAGCAGGAGTTCGGTTCGTGGGCACGGATCTACACCGCTTGTTGGCAGCCATGCTGTGGTGGTGACCCACATACAAAACAGAGGAAGATTGGCACAGATGTTGGCTCAGGGCAAATCTTCCTCAAGCAAAAAGAGGAAGATTGGCAAGGGATGTTAGCTCAGGGTGAATCTTCCTCAGCAAAAAAAAAGTAACACTTTTAGTATTAAGTATTATTGATATTAACCATTAATAACTACTTTCATTAGTAAATAGAAGAGTTGAATTGTCACTTAGCTATTTTAAAGTCAGCGGTCTATTGATCCACTTGCGTTGTTAGAAGAAGTCAGCTTGTTCACCAACTAATTTTTTTCCCAAAAGTTCTTTGCAAACACCAGAATAATAGAATTGAGTTATCATTGTTGAAACTTCCAATTCATTGAAGTTCTTAATATAAAAATATAAAAATTCTTTAAAAAATGTCAGTTATTAATATAAAAATACTCTAAAGGGAGAGGACAAGTCATATATTTTCTTTAGGTCTGAAATATTCATAATCACAGAATAGAAATCCATAAGTAAATTTCATCATCTCTGATACATAGTTTCTTTTACTGAGTCATATGCAGGTATTAAGTTCTCTTTAAGATACGCTTTTCTAATACAAAGTTAACTTTAGGATCATATTCCCAAACAGCAGGGAAGGTTAAACCATGACAGGATGGCTTCCCGTTTAAAATGGAATATGCTCCAGTACCGCGTCTTCTAATCTTGTACACCCAGTGTCCCACCCCGACACTGAAAAGTGACTTGCATAACTCTGACACTGGAAAAGAAGCTTGAGGGGCAGCCAGAATCTGAGAGGAAGCGGCATGAAGTGAAAATCTTACGGAGCCTGACTGAGGATCCCTGTCAGGAGTGATCAAAGCTTTGCTCCCGACACGGAAGATCTTGCTGGAGGCTGACAGGCTTCTGCTCGCTCTCTGGTTAAGAACTCAGGACAGTGGGCAGTCAGAAGACTGGGCGGCCATTCCTCCGCTGTGAAGGTTAAAAATAAAAAGATAAACAAGATAAGGGGGAAAAAAAAGAAGAGAGAAGAAGGAAGGGAAGAAAAAAATAAGACAAAGGTAGTATACTAGTTATTCAAACCAAAAATAATTTGTCAGGAAAAGAAAGATCATTTTATATTGACAAAAGATGTAATCCACAATGAAGGTGTAAAATTCATGAGCCTTTATAGTAATATAGCCTTAAAAAAAGAAAGAAAAAAATTTCTGTAAAATCAAGGAGAGAAATGACAGAAATCTAATTGTTGTAAGAAGCATTAACATATCTTTCTCAAGATTCGGTAGAAACTGAAAAAGAAAGTAAGATCGAATGAGTAGATAGTTACTGACCTTTGTATCTTACAAGCAGATGCTCCTCCTTTCATGCATCCACAGACTGTCTGCAGCAGTTGGTCATATACTGGGACACATAGGGAATTTTACTGTATAATAAAAATGAGAAATCTTTATGATCATAGCTAGCAAACACTAAGAAAAGTTTAAACAAACAAAACTCTTTAATCCATGAATTCTCTAACAATTTCCAAAATAAGGTCTAAAGTATTTATGTTTTTGAAGCTTCAAAGTTCATTTATAATCTATAGGAGGATATTCATTGCAACTCCGTTTGTAAGAACAAAATGCTGGAAATAACTCAAATATTTGTCAATAGGGGCCTTGGACATCCATCAATGGGGAACTGTGCAGCTGTGATGAGAAATGTGTCTATTGCTGCTTTCTCTGTAGACTCCGCAGGATGCATTGTTACCTGAAAAAAACAAGATGGAGGAAAGTATATAATATGCTACCATTTATCCACAAGAGGTGGCAGGGATATGAATATGTATTTGCTTATATTTAAAATCACGACAACAAAGCAAGAGCATAATAAAAAAATGGAAAAAATTTTAAAAATTGGTCACCTATATTGGGAACAGGGTGGAGGAAACATTGATAAAACTACACTTTTTGACTACACAGAGAGGAATTATTTCAAGTGACTTTAAAAAACAGTAATTTAACATATAAGCTTAGTGGGATATACCCTAAGAATAAAAAGAACTGCAAACATGCCTTAAGCTGCATTCAGTTATCATGCTGCTTGTAATAATATTAGCACCACTGTTCTGAAACTATGGTATGTAGTATAGTATATGGCCAATATGTAATTATGCTTATATTATTAAGAACCTAGATGTTAGTATGAGAAAAAGACATAAAACCAAAGAAATACAAATCCTATAATCCTAAACTTAAATAGAAAACATCAGTATGAGCTCATGATATATTTCTCATAAGAACAAAACAAAACAAAATTAAAAACCTTGTTTCCTTTCCCAGCTCTGCCCACCAATGAGGGCTAGAAACGCTGCCCAGCCCGGTAGCAATGACTCTCGTAGCACCAGACTGTCGTCTCTTATACTATGTCCCGCTAAAAGGAAGCTGCATTCACACACAGCTAATTTCAAGACTGGAGCAGGGAAAGTTCAAGAAGGTCCTGGGATGTACTACCATACAATAAAGCAAGAAGTTTTCAGTGACCACCAAAACAGCAGCAAGAAGGATTCAGAAGCCGATTTGAGTAGGTTTTCACTGGCCAAAAATGGGAAAATTTGAGAAATGAATTGAAACACGGCAGATACGTTTACATCCACAAGTTCATAAAAAATAAAGAACTCTTGGTGTCCTATAGAGGGTTCTGAGAACTGGTCAATAAAAGGAAAGGACAAAGATTTATCCCACCTTTCTGGTACCAACTGTACCACAGCATAACCAAAGAGTTGAAGGGAAGTTTCCCAATTATAGAAGTCTTCCTGCTAATAAATGGGAAAGAGTGAGAATTAGAATATTTGCACATTCTACTGCAATAATGGACGTAGGCAAGTTTCTAACATCATGTAAAGAGAGGCAAGTGGGCATTATATATCTGCTAATGGGAAGTCCTGTCTATCACCACTGACATCTTCTTGCTGAAATATCTAATCTGTAGGTGATCAAGTCTACACAGTACTGCCCATTAGAGAGGGAGAGAGCAGGAGAGCAGGGGACAGCAGACTTATTAAAAGACACCACGTGGATGCAATCAGCAAACTGCAGAATGTTGGAAATTCTACCGGACAAAGTGACTCAGTTTCTTCACCATATCGATGGCAAGGAGGGAAAAGAGGGAGGATGTGCAGCTGATGCTGTCGGTGCCCACTCGTATCTTTTGTGTCTGTCACTGTGCTCAACCTGACTTCCAGTGATCAGTAGCTGCCTCTGTGCCAAAAACCTTTTTCCCCCTGAACCGTGGAAGGCTGCTCTGCCC